GAGGCAAGACAGCAACTGTCTCTTGACACTGCCAAGTTCCAACCGGCCGGGAGTCTTGCCCTCCATGACCATGTCAACAGAAGAAGCCAGGCATCCAGCCCTCCCCATCCGGCCCCACCAAACCCTGTTTCTCCACTTCCTGCCCTGCGCCAGGGTCCCATTGCCTCCCTCCCCCCTTGCCTCCCTAGAGGCATGCGGATGGCCATGATCCGGTCGATGGCGATGGCCAGGAGGCTGAAGATGGAGCTTTGCGTCAAGACCAGAACAAAGCAGGCGATGAAGAGGCAGCCATAGAAGACGGCGCAAAAGCCGGTGCTGATGGTGATGGCGAAGGGAATGGCCAGCACGCCCACCGCAATGTCGGCCGCCGCCAGGGACACCACAAAGTAGTTGGTGACGTTCTGGAGGTTGCTGTTCAGGTAAACGGCCCAGCAGACCAAGACGTTGCCCAAGACGGCCAAGACGGCAATGACCAGCTCCAGGAAGATGTAGACCACATCGGCCAAGAAGTCTTTGGTGTTCCCAGGTGCTACCATGGTGGGGTCGGCGCAGGAGGCTCCTGGCCGATCCCCGGGTCCATAGCGGCAGGGCAGCGGGGGATCGGCTCACCCCTCAAGCTCTCTGGGGCAGGGCGGGGGCTCTTGGGGTTCACTTTGGGTGGGCTCCTCTCGCAGAAAATGCAGGCAGCCGTGGTGCCGCCCCACACATCGGCTGAGCGCCCACCTCCCCGCACGTATGACAGGTCAACGTCTCTCTGAAAAGTGGATTTCCTGTCCAAACATGACTCCTCTATCAGTCATTTCCTGCCTCCTCTGTTGTGACACCTCCAACCACAGCACTTTAACTTGAGCTCCGAGTTCTCACGGATTTGCTTGCAGGTCCACTGGGTCTTTCAAAGAGCTGTGGGAAAAGAGAGTCAGGCAATCACCTACCTGTGATACAAAAGCAAGGGCAGGTGATGCCTTTATTAGACCACAGGAGGGGGGCAGCACGAGGGGGGGGAGAGAGAGAGAGAGAGAAAGGAAACAGTCGTATATATTATGGATAGTGCCGGAAAAGGCATACAAAAGGCCACCTCCACCCCCCACCCCCCAATCATGGCAGAAGGCCAGGCCGGGCCACAAAAGGCCACCTCCACCCCCCACCCCCCCAATCATGGCAGAAGGCCAGGCCAGGCCTGTTCCTTAAAAGCAAGTTCCAAAATGCAGGCTGCAAACAGAAATCAGGAGGGTAAGTTGCAAATCCCACCCCTGGCGGCGGATGATTAGATTTTCTCTCCCAATGCCCAGAACAAAGAGCTCTGGATTTCATCTGTTTTTTTCTGTGCTACCTGCAATATAACGGTGCACAGCCTGAGGAAGACACGAATAGATCAAAAGCTAGCTTTTGTTTATTTATTTTAAAGAGGTCTAATAAAGGGAATTGATAGCACACCATTATTATTATCAATAATGGTATTGCATACCCTTGGTTTTGTATTGGGGGTTAAAGACTTTGTGGCTTATCTTTTTCTGGATGATAGTGGGTATTCCCCTGAAAAGCATGCCCACCCTGAGCATTTGCACCCGTGACACCCGCAGGGCATCTTAGTGCCCACGGAATGCAAGGCTGAAGCTCCGGCCAAGAGGGCCACAGTTGAACTGACCAGCTCGCTTCCTCTTTGTTCAGCTCTGCTTCACTCGGACATACGTGATGGAAGCGTTCGTGGATTGCAAAAGGCTCAAGCAGAGATCAGCAACTCAGGGTGGCTTTGAAGAGCCAAACACTTGGCTCCTGCTTTTGCACCAACCAACCCTTTTACTGGCAGTCCCACAAAACGGTATTCCAGTCATTGCCATAGAATGCCAGGCCATACATCTTGCTATTTTATTTATCCTGTGACAGATGTAGTTTTAGCACGACTGGAGGGACTAAGCTTTGAGGTGCCTGGCTGAGGAATGGGGGAATCTCTGCTCCCTCTGAAAATAAACATGTGTGTGTGGGGGGGGTCTTGTTAGCACCCCCTCATGCTCTGGGCTGTGGTTCCCCCCAAACCATGGTAGTCAGTGACTCCCCATTCTAGTGCTGTAAATCTACTCTGGATTTTAATCTGCACTTTCCGGGAGCTTTCCAAGGTGCTGCATTTTACAAAAAAAACAGTTCCAGGACTCCAGCATCAGGACCATCATCCTGTCCTTTGATTCGGAGAATTCTCCAAAGAAAGGCCAGGTGAAAATGACGGAGCTTTCTTGCATGGCCTTGATAGGGAGCCCAAGACTCTCCTCCATAGTGGAGAGGGGACAGAACAACAGCTCAACAGAAAGACTGATTCCGGACAGAGGGTCAACGTTTTCTATACAGGCACTGCTGGCTTTCGCGGCCCATGTGGTCACTTCGTTGTCAATGAGAACGCAGCAGGAGGTGGTGCTGAAATTATTCATATTCACCGCAGTAAGAGGGGTGGGTGGGTTCATACAACTTCAGAACTGGCTCCTTATATAATACCTCTTGGGCAGATCGGTCCATCCCCACCGTCTTTATCAGTATTGACCTTCAGGCTAAAATGGTTACAGGCAGAGGAGAACAGATCAAGACTTTTTTTGGAGGGAGGGAGGGACATATCCAGCAGCGTGGTTCCATTAAGATCACAGTGCCTGGTCAGGAAAACATTTATATCTGCTTGCAGGCACCTGTTCAATAAAAAGCAGTGAAGTAGAGATTTTCTTGGACATTCAGTTTATCAGTCTCGCATGGGGCAAATGGGTTGAAGGATATTCAGAAGGAAGGAGAAAGTTGTACAAGGTGTAAAATATTCCTCTGGGTCATATAGGACTTCACCCTTTTGGGATAAATGCCAGCTGAGACAAGCACAGGATTCTGATTCTTAGGGTTTTTTTTTTCCTCCCTCTAGAGGTCTATAAAGTTCTGCAGGGCTCTTGGGGAGAGGTTCAAGCATCAGACTTAGTGATCTGACAGCAGTCCTTGGCACATAGAAACTCATGCCCTGCACAGAATGAGATTTTATTTACAGTCTCTAGAGATGCCGCAGATGGAACATCGGTGCGATAGTGAGGTCGACACCAGCCTTTCCTTCCCTGTAAGCATGATAGAAAACACAAGGCTGGAAAGAGCTGGAGCTGAGACACAGCCCTGTTTGACAATAATTTGCCATGAGAAAGGGATCAGAAAGGATGCCGGAGACAATGAGACAAGCTTGCATACCATCATGTCATCCTCCGACGATATGCGTAAATTTCTCAGGACATCCATGCTTCTTCATGATTCCCCATAGCTCTTCTCTGCACACAGTTTAAATGGCTTTAGTTTCATCTGTGAAGGCTGCATCTTGCTCCTTCCCTTGAATGGCCAAGATCACGCCAGCCGTCACTCGTTCCTCCTGGAAGTCCCACTGAGTTTCTGTTAGGAAATCTCTTCTCAAGAGCCCTCTGAGACAATTCAGAAGGATTTTTGCCAAGTCAGGGGACCAGGTGCTGCTTTATTTAGGCCAGGAGGTATTTTGCTCAGTTAACAGCATCTACTTTATTCTTCATCGTATGCATTTTTAACCCTGTAAGCTGCCTCCTGCAGGCAGAGAAATGGGTTGGACGTGATTTAAATAAACAAATGTGGAGCCCTTCTGTTTGTTCACCGCTGCGAAGAGGTCTGCCTGCCATTCTGTCCAAACAAACATTTCCCGTTTACACCTGGGGTAGAAAATCCTGTAAGCCAACAGCTCTGCCTGCCTTGAATTCCCACAACCGCGTTTGCAAGAGAGACGGAGAGTGTGACACGCAACACAGACCTGAGCCCACCAGAGGGGTGGCTGGACTGAGGAGTCCAGAGACTTTGAGGCTGCTTGTGACTGGGACCGCTGCACACGCCGACTGGGGCTACCAGTTGCTGCCATCCAGGAGGCAAAACCAGTTACCAGAAAAGGCCAAAAAGCAACACACAAGACACAGCCCCAAGCTGGAACCAGCCTTTCCGTGCAAGCTCTCGAAAGGGGATTCATTCTTCCTGCTCACCACCAGCAACGTCCGTGCCCTGTTTTCAGCAGATGCACGGCCTGCCTGTGCTTTTCAGGGACCCGTGGCAGCTGCTCCCCGTCCATTTTTCACTGCCCAGAACAGGCTGTTCCACGGCTGCTCTCGGCCCCTGACAGCTAAATTGTTTTCTAACAATTCCGTCAAGCAGCTGGCAAGGAAACTGTGAGGAGGAGAGGCATTTCGGGTAGAAACGCCCAAGTGACCTTGCACAGCCAGCAAAAGTGGCTGAGAAGGCAAAGCCACCTGCAGCTGGCTGGGCAGGGCGTGTCCGGGGTGTTTCAGGTGGGAGATTACAGTGGTGCCTCGCTAGACGATGATAATCCGTTCCACTGAAATCGCTGTTTAGCAAAATCATTGTCTAGCGAAAAGCATTTCCCCATTGGAATGCATTGAAACCTGTTTAATGCGTTCCAATGGGGAAGAATTGTCGTTGCCTAGCGAAGATCGACCATAGGAAAGCTGCTCTGCGAACCACCGATCAGCTTTTTAAATCGTCTTGTGAAGCTTGGGTCCCGAAAACACCTGTTTTGAGAGCACGGAGGGAGCTGTCAAAATCGTTATCTAGTGAAAATCGGTTTGCGAAGCAGGGACCAAACATTGTCCAGCGATATTCCCCCATAGGAATCACTGTATTGCGAATCGCTATAGCAATTGCAAAAAGTCAATGTCTAGCGAAAAAGCTATCATGCAGGGTAACTGTCTAGCGAGGCACCACTGTACTGGTTTCCCTCATCGTTTGCTTGAAACCTCTGCCCATTTGCATCTGCTTGGACAATCAGTGACACCTATTGAATGGCTGCTGCCACTTTTACAATTTCGCTGTTGGTTTCAGATGATGTAAGTGTGTGGTTATCACTAATGTGAGTCAAAAGAGAAAAAAGGAAAAGAGAAGAAAAGGCTAATGCAATGTGAGGCTGCATCAACATAAGGATGATGTCCAGATCAAGGGAAGTAATAGCACCAGAGTAGTTACTCACCAGCCCATCCTGCTTTAAAAACTGGATTAAGTTCAGATGAAGGAGGAGGGGGACTGGTCAAAGAAACAGCAATAATTTAAGCTATGCAGATGACTCCCTCTGACTGGCAGAAAGCAGCTATGCTTTGGGACAACGAAGGAGGAAGGTTAATGGAAGTGCAAAAGGAAGGTTATATGAAGAAGAGATCAATAAGGATTGCAGAAGAATTTCATAATTTTTATCAAGGAATCCAAATTGTTCAACATTTTCCATGCCTAAGCTTAATTTCCTAATCATGCAAACAAACAAAGGCTACAGTCAAGGAACCAGCAGAAAATGGAGACTCAGCAGGGCAGAAATAAAGAAAGAAATAGAAAAGATCCTTAAGAATAAGTATGTGTCACTCAAAGTAAAAGCCAAGGTTGGTTGGTTGGTTTTTTGTTTATACTCAGTCCTTTTCTTTAAAAGGACCAAAGGTAGCTTACAACAATTAAGAGACAATGTTTAAAAGCTAAAAACAAATCACCCACACTATGGTATTCTTGATTACAATGTAAGGAGGTGAAAGCTGAACAGTGAAAGAAATTGACAGAAAAAAAGATGATTCATTTGAAATGAGTTCTTGGTCAAGAGCTTTGCAGGTATTATCAGCTTCCAGAAAGACAAATATGCAGGTCCTAAATCAAGCTTGGGATCTCACTGAACAGGAAAATGACTGAACTGAGGCTGTTGTCCTTGGGATACATTATAAGAAGAGCAGACCCCCTGGAGAAGACAATAAGGCTAGCAAAAGGGGAAGGCAATTGGAAAAGGAAGAAACTTTAGCCTGCCCTGGATTGACTTCAGAAAGGATGCAACAGCCTTGAGTTTGGAGAACCCGAGAACAGCCGTGAATGATGGGCCCTTTTCAAAGTTG